TATATATATATATATATATATATATATATATATATATATATATATATATATATATATATATATATATATATATATATATATATATATATATATATATATATATATATATATATATATATATATATATATATGGACAAGAATTAACCACTTAATGAACGTATATAATTAAGAAATATTTGCACTAAATAACACTAAAACTTAAGTCATTTCTCTAAATAGTACTCCGGGGTAATTAAAATGTTTTATTACCTAAATAGCACTTATAATTAATTCGTATTCATTGTTATAAATTCAATAATGCATTTTATGCTAGAACTAATTATGTCTTCGACGATTGAGCTATTGAATTACTAAGATAAAAAAACGTGCACGGGATTGAAATTTATTTACATGAAAAAATACTAGGGAGCATAAATAACCTAATGTACTAGTAATTTTTTTTAGTATGGATCGAAAATGAACATAATGTTTTAGAATGATCCCAAAAAGAAAAATACGTAGTAATATGGAGTATTCCGTAATTAAAGAGAAAAAATATTTGCACTAAGTAACACTAAAACTTTAGTCATTTTCCAACATAGCACTTAAACTCTTTTATTTCCTAAATAACTTAACACGTACTTAATAATATCCAGAAGGAGAAATAATGTCCAGTAATGGCGAATATTTACTTAAATAATGATTAATGGATAATGACTAAAAGTGCTATATTAGAAAAAACATAATACTACTTTGAAAAAGTCATTATGTTTTAGTCCTATTTAAGTAATTTATCCTATTTTAATATTATTTAAGTAAATTCCTCTTTAAAAATGTATATACTCCCTCTGTCTTAAAACGTTCTTTCCACTTCCCCTTTTTCTCCGTCCTAAAACTACCTTCCCATTAGAAAAAAAGGTGACAAATGACATTAATACTCTCATGTATTTACACCAATTATCTTCTAACTCTATATTTTGAATGATTGTAAAAGAAAAATTTCATAAAATCTTTTTTAAGGAGAGTAAAATTTAAAGTTAAAGCCAAAAATTAAAAATGGAGAAAAGTCAAACTGGGAAGAAAAAATTAAGACGGAAGGAGTATATGAATAAGAGAAAATAAATTGATGGCCTCAGATAATAGCTCCCCTGGTAAGGCTAAAGCCACATATATACAAAATCCTTATCCAAATCAAAATGATTCTTGAAATATAGACAGACTTTTAATTAATTTCCAACTAACTACCACTCATAAATCAAATCCGACCCACAGTTCTCGTGATTTTTTGCAAGTTGCGTTTTCTTTTTCTTTCCAAAGAAACTTAAATGTGACGCCGATGGGCAAGTGGACACACGGCACAACCCCTTACAATCACACTAAGGGGTGTATTTAATTTGGATTTTGAATGATTTTGATATACTACGGGTATTGTTTAAAATCAATAAATTATGTGAAATACATGAATTATTTTAAGTCTACGAAATTTTTATGTCATTATCAGCCAACAATGTGTTAGTGCAACCATACATTATTACATTAATAATTTTTATTTTGTATAAATAAATAAAAATTATCGAGATTCTGTGTAGTGAAAGTGTAATTCATTCTGAGACGGAGGGAGTACAGTTAATGTAGTCCAACTCTCGTGTCAATGGTAGGACTCATAAATTTTAAAATTTTGAAAATTTAAAATTGTACACTTAAAATGTTTGAACATGTTTTTAGCAAAAAAAATCATAAATCATAAATTGACACTTATCTAGGCACAAAGAGAGAATATTAAATTTAACACTTCGAACGGAAAACTTAAAAATCTGAATTAATGGAGTAAAACATTTAGAAATCACTCTATATAGGACAAAAAAATAGAGAAAAGTATCAAAATAGGACCATGATCATATTGTTTTTTTGAAATAGGACTTTGCATTATGGTAATGTGGCAGTGTACATGTGCACATTATTATATTTTTTGGTAATGTAAATGATCATGTTTGGTAATGTAAGTCTTATTTCAAAAATTAGTCATACTTTGATCTTACCCTAAGTATGTTTCCTACGCCCCTTTCTCCTCCCACCAC